TCCATTTTTGCCTAAATTCCACCGCGATTGGAAGAAGTCAGTGGTATATGTGCGCAAAAACTCATTGACCAACCCGGTTCGTGTACGAGGATCCCATTTTTATATTCTGCGTTTCTGTTTTATTCTGGTGGCGTTCAACTGAGGAGCATTTGCCCAACGAGCAAATGAGGAGCAAATGTACAATGAGACTGCTAGTGTATGTCCAATCTTTGACTGACCGAATATCGTCTTTCGCGTTTTGTTTATCAAGAAGAAACTCGGCTCTACGGCCTAATCTACTCGGATGAAAATCCGTTCAGTGCAAGAACATTTTTCGTCAGCTGTAACAATATAATAGATTTCTTTCGTTTGAAAATCAAAAACTAATCAAATCGAAATTTCTGAATGAAGTAGTATGTAATGGTTATAAGCCATTACTGATAAGACCCAACAAGTTTTCAATAGCCATCCAATGCTTTGTGGCTTTCCAGTCCTGACTGACATCTTTAACCACCATGGTGTCAAGGTATAGGTGAAGTTCAACAACAAACTGAAATCTTGGGTCATTACATCCAGTAAAGAATTCCTGTTGTCTCAATCACCGAGAATTCAGTTGTTTGTGAAATACTCAACGAAATAGCCAAGAAAGGAATTTTGTGTTGACAGCAGAAACCTTTACCCGTAAGGTACTCAACCGACCGGACCAATCTGAGCGCACAGGTACATGAGGTAATTTCCTGCGAAGTTCAAAAGAAACATGGGTTTACGCTGTATGTGTTCCACAGCTCGTCTTTTTCATCCATGAATTGTCATAGTAATTTCAGAGCTATTGGACGAGAATATTTCACAAAATCCGTAGAGTTTAGTAAACAAATATAAAAATATTTTCCCTTTAGTTTCGATTAAGCATCACACTAAATGATCCGAGAGATTTGCTGATAGCTTAATGCAATTTTTAAAATGCAAACTGATACAAGAAACGCTGTAAACCGCAGTAGGACGGCAGTACGTGATCAGTAATAGACACTATTTGATTTGAACAAAATGTCAGTACTCGGAGCTTCTGCATACTTGGTAGACAAGGATTGTTGTATCCTATTGTGAACTAAATTATTTTTGTTGAAAACATGATTTGTAGATTATTGCCTTGATCAGAATGAATAATGCTCTTCTCCCTTCATCAACTGTCGCATGTCTGTATAAGTAACTACTATGAACTTATTGAAACCAGTTTTCAGTGCAGAGAAAATAATATATTATCACTAGCAGAGCGGCAGTCAATTATGTACCGTCCTGGTAATACGATGCCACGTACAATTTATTCATAGGGAACAGGCTGATCATTATGTTGTTAGCATCACCCCTCCCCTCACATTTGAAAATAAAGTGTTTCAATCTGCGAGGAATATTTTTCACCAATCCGAAAATTCTCGCGTGTCGTTCATGAATCCCGAACGATAGCCATGTTCTGTAACCCATATCCGAATGATTGGCGGGTCCTTCTGTTTGTTTCACCTCCACCATTGTGTTCATCATCCTTGTTCGGCCTCAGCGATCAGTCAGTCCTTCGATTTATGCACGTCACAAAACCATTTTAAACGTTTACTGTTTTGCTTGTGTCGTCTCTCTTGCGTTTCCCTTTTTTTGCGTGCATCGGAGCCATCAGGTGAAAGAAGTTTTTCAACTCACTGTATGTATGCGTGCGCGCGTGTAGCCTCACGTGTGCGCTTCTGTGCCTTGATGTGTGCGTCCGTGTGTGTGTGCTCGCGTGTATATATATATTCCTGTGTGTGTATGTGTGTGTGTGTATGGATTCGTACAGGGAAGGCAAGCTGATGTTCACTCAGAGATGGGTGGACGGTCAGTGACCTCAAGTCAGGACAGAATTCTCGTCGTTGTTCATACAGACGCAAAGACAATTCAATCCGCCTCGGATGTCTGACGGATAATGATGATACTGTTATGATGACAGAACGCGATGGCAAATGTTAGCAGGAACAACAACAACGATAACAATAATAATAATAATAATAATAATAATAATAGAATCCGGGTGAACAATATTTTAAATATTACTCAGAAATTACCTACGCACAAAACAAATGGAATCTGAGAGACGTGTAGTCTATCCATCCGACGAAGGTACGATTCTCTTTTTGGTCAGTACACAACACATGGCCGAAGCAGTTCAGATTTCATATATGATGATGATGATAGACTTCAGTGGGTAAACACGCGTGTCAATAAAAAGAGAATGGAACCAAATATTGCATATTTTAGTTGCATGTTATGTTATCAATTGTATTATTTTACTGTTATTCCTTTGAATTTACTGGTATTCGATGAGTATTTGTACCAGCAAACATCAGAAAGGTGAATTGGCGATGCGTATAATTTCGGAATAATGGCCCAGTTTTCTAATGAAATCAGATTTTCCGTAAACTTACGAAAAGGAAACCCTGAACATTAAATTTAACTGAGCTCTTACTTTTCCCCCAATCTTGGGGATATAAATTCAGGATAAAACCCGGAGTGCGATCCCTTCCGAGGATGGCGGTAACGCAATGAATATTCCTATTTACATATCAGATGATCAAGATAATTTAAATCCGTTGTTGATGGTGCTCATTGTTGATTAAAATCATTCCCACTGGTACATTTGAGCTCCGTAAATATTCTTGTTTCACGTCCACAAACTGTCAACCTCAAATTGTCCTATCACTGCTAGTAGTTAGAACGCACCAAAGTAGGGAAGCCATAATTTATTGGTGTACAGACGGTTTGATTTAGGTCCTCTTGGGACGGGATCAAACGCTAAACTAAACGATACAGTTTGCTGCATGGGAGACACGGAGAATCAGCTGATCGGTGAACAGAAGCGCACCGACGGGATCGCTGATATGAAATCGATCAATCCATTCCAGCGCTAGGTTCAGCAAAACTGGTCTATTAACATTCAATGGGTGCGCATCCTCACAGTGACCTTCGCAAAGCGCTGGGTTCTTTAGATGCTGCACTGAATAGCGTAATAAAAATTCCGAGCCGTCGCAATAGATTGTAGTCTTTCGTTTCTAACACCGCTTTCAATCTGCCTTCCAGCATGATCCAAACTTCAACGCACTTTCTTTCCATCTTCCACTACTGAGGTTAAAGGGCCCCGGCTTAACTAAATAAATCTTCCTGTACTACGCTATTTCTGATAATTTTCGGATTGTGTCCTCTTTGTTTGAATGAGATTTCCGAGGGAAACAGTGGCACTAGAAATGGCTCACTTATCCATCCGAATAGCTGACAGATACTTGGAGTCGTCGAAAGTATAACGAACCGGTTCTAGCTATACTCATAAATGTTTATGGAACTGAAATAGAAACAAAGATGGGTCAAACGAAAAAAAACACTTCCATCCTTGAAACGCAACATAGTTTGTTGGTATATGATGCAGAACTAAGTTAATAATGTATATGCTGTATTGGATAAACAGATAAGAATAGAACAAACCAATTTTTGGGTGCAAACTCCTGTTATGCCCCGGGGAATAGTACGAGAAAATCTGTTTCATTTTTCACAGTGACGATCGATCAAGCCGATGGGAATTGGTTACTTACCCCCGGAATATGATCACATAGCAGTGCAAAATTTTACCAAAATCAAAAATTCGGGTTTGGATATAATGAAATATGCGTCGCCATGGAATGGGAGTCAAGTGATTACCAATGAATCAACCTGAGGACGGACGAGAAAATGTGCATTGCAATATGGATTGATTGTACTAGTCTGAATGACGTTTTGCAGGCATTTCTAGGTCACAGGATTCCTTCCCATTCTCACACGAGTAGATCAATAGATTTCAAATCTGGGTAGATCCATGGGACTCATACGAGTGCCTGGGATTGCAAATGTTTTTGTTTTTCGAATTCGGGCCTGGATCCATTACCCTCAATCTCTGATACATTCATTCGTTTTGCGTGTTATCATCATACGGGATTGAGATCATGCGCGAAGTCAATTAGAGCAAGCATTCAGTCATGCAAGGGGACCGTGAATTGTCTTCCAGTTTATAATGAGCAAATACTGTGAGTCGTCTGTCAGTGTTTCTAGTCTCGTCGTTCGAAGCACTAAAATGCTCATCGCTCTACATGATTGTTTCATAAGAATCCGATAGGAAAACAATGAAATGAACGGGAGCATCGAATGTACTGAACATCGCTGAGAGGAGCTATTTATTTAATCATCCATGTTATCCACTCAGGGAATCAAACACAGGAGCATCTTCTATCTTGAGAATCCCTAGAGCCATCACTTTCAAAACTCATCCCCGAAATCCCGCATACGGAATTTATCCGAATGCCGCAAGGTTTATAGTTAGATGATGTTCACACCGTTTTAAACTATCTGTGCTACTATCCTGAATTTTCCAAGAAAACATCCATAAGAATGAAGGAGGTTTAGAAACGCATTTTTTCCAAGTATATATCAAACATATTTAGATTGAAGGTTTTTAATACTATTCTTTATAATACAAACTTACTACTTTCTTGTATTGTATATACGATCAAGCAAACACTTAATGAAAGAGAGAAAGGAAATTTATAAAGGTTAGCAAAAGACATGAATAAGTAGGAAAGTCGGACGACGTGTACGAGATTCGAATGCACAACATTTTGGTTGGTTTGACGTTACTCTGTGTTGTACAACTACCACTACCCAGGGACGCATTTTGACTGCAATGAATCAAGAAAAATAATTTTCTATCCAATCGAAAAAATGTCTTCCCATTGTGTATTAAGTAGGATAAAAAACGGCTGAAAGCATATTAGCCTGACCCGTCCTGATTGTTGCTCTGACTATCAGCTGAGCAAAAATAAAAGAGGTGTCCTGAATCGGGCTCACTTCGCACTTCACAAATGGGTCGTTCTCGACTGAGATTCACTGCTGTAGGGTGTATAACACAAGTTCAAAGTTCCATACGAACTTGCCCAAAACAGTGACTTAAACGTACAAGGTACAGATTGTTGCCTCCGATGGCTGCTTCACAAGGTAATCATATATGTCGTTCGTTCAATAGGAAATGGTCGATTTTTTAACGTGTGAATCTTCTGCCGATTCGGGTTGTGGATCCATGCTTCATTTATTTTGGAACCGCACGGATTGTCTCGACAATGGTGATTTGAAATAATCGTCCTCGCATAAGATTTTTCGTCTAGATAACATTCCCACAGTTAGTCTAATAGAATGCAACCGGAAGCGTATGGAAATTAATGGATTGTAAAAAAACATGTTTATTTGTGTGGAAAAAGACAGCTGTGAGAATAAATATACGCACACCAATTGGTTGACTGAATGGTTGACAAGCTTTTTGATTGGTTGTGGATTTCTACTAATCCCTACCGTAGGATTATCATGGAGCATGGATTGATTGTTCCAGAACAAAGCAGTTTTCAGGAAGTACGCTGACTCACCGACAATTTACCCGTGCTATCAAGCAGCCTTCAATAGCGGATTGACAGGGAACATGGCAGCAGGGGTACATACGTGTATATAGATACACACATACGCAAACTGTACTGCTACTGATGAATACCGTGATGAGCATGTTTTCTATCTGTATCACCGGGAAGTCGAGATTAAACAACGGTTGTCGGTTAACTTTTCCTTCAATGTACACATGGACTAAAGTGCTCTTATAGGTGGGCGGAGTCCGAATCCACGGTCAGAATAGGATAACCTTAAACAAACTGTTGAAACAATTTGCATTTCACATAGAATGCACTCGAAGCATGTAAATGCGTTGTGACTCAGAGGAACGAACCCAACCTACACTTGCGAATGTAGTACTGTGTATCCGCAAGATATAGTCCCAATACGAGCCCAGACTGGGAGACGCTCAGTGAAATTCTATCACCGAGACCCAACCGACGCTGAAGAAGGAATGAAGATGTATATTCTGACGAGGTTGTATATTTAGCTCAACCCCAAGGGGATTAGGGCAAAGAGCTAATTCGTAACTTTCGAGATGGTTATAGTTTATCTTGTAATTACCTAACATTTCCAAGTGATCAGGTGGAGTTGGTCAGTCATGGGCGACACGGACTGCTAGCGCTATGGGAAACCTTCGAATGCCGAAAGTGGAAACTTGAATGTTATAAAAATTAATTACAAAAATCGAAAAAAATAGTCCGTTTTAGGAAAATTGGGATTTCCCGGACAGTACACCATAGTCAGATAAGATCGAATGCTGTTTTGGATTGGCTTGTAAACTAAACTAAACAGAACTGAAATCTTACTTAATCTCGTAATTTGGTGAGTAAATTTTGATTAGCGTATTTCCACGATGCCGATTGTCAAAATCTATCGAGACGAAATCCTGCGTTTGCGTTTCGTATAGATGTCTGTTACTTATGCTCTTACTTAAATTTACCCTGAAGCGATGCGGGATAATCCGATGGGGATAACCGCAACAAAATTGATCGGCCTCCATTTCCTTCTATGGTGCAATGATGTTGTCATGCATCTGTCTGATAAAAAAATGTCTGTTGCTAAAATTGTATCCACTATAATAGGCTGTTCAGTTTACCAGAGTAGATCATGCTTCTGATTGCACTTTATTATGACTGATTATAAAATGCGTGTGTGCAGATGGACAGATTGATTGAGTAATAGCTGACCGTATACTGGGCAGTCGAAAATATGAACCCAACTCTTGTACAACATTCCAGTTGAGTCACTGTAGCACGCAGCCTAATGCACAGGATATGTTTTGGTGGATCACACTACCTATGATCGATTTGAAGTGGAATGACTTTGGTGGAAGTGGTGTATCAATAAGTGAGGATTCATTTGAGAAAAACCTTCTACTAATATTGAAGGTGGACACGGTTTTAGGTGGCCAAATGCTATTGTCGAAACGGGCACACATGAGGCTGTCTGAAGCTGAGTTGGAAAAGGGATAACAACGAAATTTTAACTGATGCTTCTAACTGATTGGTTGAAGAAAATTACGTGGATCACCGGAGGGAGAGAAAAGTAAGAAAAACACTAGTTATTCATACGTTCACAAAATGCTGGGTTGAATTTTCATTGTGGTGGTGGTGGTGGTGGTGGTGGTGGTGGTGGTGGTGGTGGTGGTGGTGGTGGTGGTGGTGGTGGTGGTGGTGGTG